ACCTTGTAAGGGGCAGGTATGATCCCATCTTACAGATGAAGCGCCTGAGTGCCCAAGGCCAGGCCGTTGGTAAGGAGTGGTTACTAACTGTAAGGCAGGAGGGATTCTCTCTTGCCTGTGAGTATACCAAATAAGCAGCATCTTCACGCATTTACAGTTTATCTGTAAATCTCAACGATGGGAAAAGCCTTGCTTGGAATCTTGCAAATTGTGTGACTCTTCCCCAGAGTTTCTTTGCAGCCAGACCAACCGAGGCACATTGAGTCGGTTTTTGGGAGCAGCAAGTTGAAAGCTGCAATCACTGCTCTAAAATCCTATTTTCTGCTTTTCAAGAGCTGCTGAGCTGCTGAGCTCACCCTTCAGTGCCAGCTCCAGCATGGCCGCGTCCAGGGCCACCCAGAATCCCTGGCAGGGGGGAGGCGGGTCTTTTCCTCCTTTTTACATGCCTCTCTCAGTGCCCTTTTCCTGCTTTACTGTATGTTTCTTTCCCTGTTGATATATCTTATCTTTACTGCTTCAGAAAGAAGCCTAGCAATTAACATTTGGAATTGGGGGAAATGCTTTTAATTACTCAATTACCTTTAGTCCCAAATGCTCGATATTTTTTTAAAGGTGTTTTTGTCCCTTCTTTGATTTTATCCTAAAATCCCGATGCATATTATACACTTTGCTGGGCTCTGCGCATAAAAAACTAAGACGACGTCCTCAGTTCTAGAAACCCACAGTCAAGGGAACCAGAAACAAACCAGGGATTAAAGAGCAGGTAAGGGTCCTGGGTTGAAAGGCTGGGGACCAAGGTCCTTAGGTGGCTTCATTATGTCATCTGCAGCACTGGGAGTTTCGAAAACAGTGAATACGCCCCTAATTGACTTAAGTACAAAAAACATATTCCAGGGCCAAATGAAAGTGACCTTTGGACTATCGACCCAATTTGGCTATTCATGCCACCTCTCTCCTCTTTTGGCCCGGACAACTGAAATCTATACACTCTCAGGGGGGATGTTTACAGATGAGTCAGTGTTGGAGCTGGCAAGAGGCAGTGGGAAGGACAGTGGACCCAGAGCCCGAGATGAAGTTCTTGTTTTGGTTCTGTCGTTAAATCTCAGTGGGGACTCTGGGAAGTCACTTCATCTCCTACTATTGCCTCATCTAGGAGGTGAGAATACAAGCAAGCTTAATTCCTATCACGAGGGGGCAGATACTGTTTGTGAAAGCACTGAAAATGCAGTGTGCTAGTCAATATTCAAGTACAAAGTGAACAGGCAGGGACTAACCTCCACTATAAACTCTTTCACATTAAATCTATTTTATATTGCTCAAGAGTTCAAATAAGTTCAAAGGAGAGGCTGATACCAGTGACAACTGACAGAAGGCAAACTCAAACATCATATTGAGTTACCAAAAAGGATGAGATGGTAAAACATCCGGTAACGCATGTTTCTTTCACATACAAAGTTTGACTTAGCACCGGTGAATACATAGAGAATCTGAAAAGTCCACTGCAACTGAATACATTTCTTGGGATCTAACATTCAAAAACAATTGCCAGACAGTTTACTCTCCAAAAAAACTTATTTAGGGAAACAAACTACTTTGGGAAGTATAAGAATAGGAGGAAGTTATGGGAAATTACTGCTACATACTGCAGAAACATAGTGGAAGGCAAACAGGGCCCAAAGAAAAAGCTCCACGAGAAAAACAAACGTTGAAAGCTAATTGTAAAACTAGTGCCCTGCTCCAAAGTCAACAACTCGAATGACCAAAAAAACAAAAATGACCTTGCCCAAATCCGGGTCAGCGAATGACTCCAGCAAAGAGTTGTGAGTTAATGCAACTCCCGAGAGCAAGTACTATTAGAAAGAGTAGTACTATTCAAGAGGAGTATCTTGATCTGAGGACTGAATACTCTCGGCCTTGACCCAGAGAGTGTTGTGCTCAAAACATGAGGTGTGCCTAGAGCACGTGGACCGGCAACCTGCGTGTCCGGTGTTCATTCACTCGTCCCACTGAGGGGAGATATGTCTCTTACAGTTCCTTGATAAAAACTTGCGTTTGCTTCTTCTTTGCAAATCAAAGGGAAACTAAACATCTGTACCTGTTACAACTCCTGAAGCTGAAGGCAATAAAGGACAACTGCTTATAGCCAGTTGCTAGATGTATCTCCATTGAGGTATCACCTTAGCACAGGGTTCCCACGACAGGAGAGGACAGGAGGCTGCTGGTGATTTTCCTGAGGCTCCCACTGGACCACGGCGAAGCAGACCGATCATGTCATAGGAAATGAGAACAAAATCCTCCAGGATGATAAGTCAGAATTTGTAGTTAAAACGGTGCTTGCACATAGGTATACGAGTCCCAAATCCCACTTGAAAAAAACCTAAGAGCACGTGGTGCCAGCTGCTAGAAAGTTGGCACCAGATTAAAACAGAGATCTTAGACAGTTCTAGATGTCAGCATACGGTGTTCAGGGCCCACTCCTGAAGATGCTGTTAAAACAAAACCAAAGTAACTACCTTGAGAGAACATGCACGTCTGAGAGGCCAAACGTTTTAGTTGGGTGAAGGGATGATTTAACTCATGAAACTCAAGAACACAATAAGAACAATAACAATTTCCTTGAATATATTCGACTGTCGAGGCAAGGCATTGTCCTATATAAAACATTTTAATTTTCCCACTACTCCAAAGAAATCCAATAAATAGCGTTACAGGGAAGGGCCCCGATGAGAACTGTGAGCGAGCACAGATCCCAGAGCAGCTGCGATGGTCGAGGTGCTCAAAGCGCACGGTCGCCTGCAGTTCTGTCTTTTTCGAATGTGACCTGCTGGTGTTTCCAAGCTGCTTCACAGAACAGTCCCATCTGGTAAAGCTCGACGGGGAGTGAAGCCAAAGAGTACAACCCAAGAAGTGGTCAAGGCCAAGGTTTCCACACGACGCCTCTCTCTTCTTCCAGCGGAATAGCGCCCCGCTGACGCCTGGCTTCGGGCGGCAAGTGCTTCAGCCGCGTGTGCGCCCATCACGCGGGGAAGAGCTCGGGAGGGCTCTCTCCGTAGCAGTACTTTGCTATGGGATCCCTATAGGTGTTCTCATGCTGTACGCTCTGTTGGCAAAAGGGAAGACAAGAGCTCGGTGAGAGAGAGCAGTCTCACACACCTCCCTCTCAGAGCTGCGAAAGTCAAGCGAGACTGCTGTCAGACACTCCCCGCAGGAGCCTGGCCGAGTCCATCTCCAAATGTCACTAACAGGCTCCGAGGCACTTTCTGGAACAAAGGCGAATGCACAACGCAGAATGCCAATGAAGAACATGAAAATGGACATAACATCACTGCATGACAGTTTCTTTTTATGTACATGAGTTTTTTAATGACCTTGCTGTGACCTGGGCAAATCAACTATTTTTTTTTCTCAAATTATTTTATTTTAGATTATGATCCAATGGGTGTTTTGTATCTGACCCTGTGCTTCAGAGAAATTCAGTTGCTGGTAGTGAACCCTGCAGAGATGGAGGAGATACACTTCAAATCACTTTCATAAAGTTTTACTTACTTCAAGGTTTGGCACATGAGCCAAATCCCACAATTCCATGCAAGCCTCATTTGGCAAAGCAAAGGGGAAGCATGATTTAAAACAATCATCCCGAGGGCTACTTTTTCAGCATTTTGTTTTCATACAGGTAACTTGAGTTTTTGGCTAGTATAGAGTTCATTAATTAGCCCGAGACCAATACTAAACATCTACATTGTAAGTATTAATCCAATTTACAGACATGCAGCCAAAAGCTTCTCTTTCTTGGGATACCACTATCAAAACAAATTGGCAACTGGGAAAGCTCTCAGTCTTTACAATAAAAAGACAAAGTCAGAAAGTTTAGCATCTTCCCTCACAATTGGAAATAACTCCTAGGTTTCATCGGTTAAAGAAAATATTTCCCCTTTTCTAGTGTTTCTCAGAATGAGAGAGAATTTGAATCAAAACGAATCAATTTCCTTTAAAGCCCATTCAAGTGGAAAGCTCTTCCAACAAAACAAGCCCATCAGGAATTTCTTCGTGTTTTCAAATGCTCATTATGACCCCTAAAACATTTACCCAATGATGCTGAATGCTCTAAGAGCAGACCAGAAACACAAAAAGCGGCATAAAATAAAAAGGTGAACTACAGAAATCTGGCAAAAGGTACAAGAGTTCCAGAAAATGACAAATGAGTCAGTTACCTCAGACGAAGCCAGTACAATCTTGGAGACACCATGAATAGAAGCAAGAAGTGTGCTTGTATAACAAACACGTCCTGTGATTTTACAATGACAGCTCCGACAATTGCCCAACCACAAAAGCTGAGAGCTGAGGACATAGAGTGATGGAAAGCAAAAGACTTTCAGATGCTTTCAGCAGCAGGTGCAATGTTTAGTGCCCAAAGAGCAAAGCATTTAATGACAGCATGTTAATAAATATTGAGAGCTTGACAACCTACACATTTATTCGTGCATTTTTAAACATCCACCTATCTCATTCCCTCGAGTCCTAAAATAAACCACAACTCTGTCCCAGAACAAATTACTACTTACTCTCAATGAGTGGATGCTACAAAGTCTTAGTCAAATTTCAGACAGAAGAACTCTCAGAAACTGGGCTATTAGGATTCCACGCAGACTTAAAAATAATTTTAAGCTTTCACTTAAAGTACAAATGTACCAATCAGATAGGGGAGATATAAGCTGATTAGACCTTGATTTAATATAAATATTTTACTTCCCTAACTTGTATAAATCTCATGCTGACACTCTTAAACGTTATCATTCCACCGAAGCCCCTTTTGAATCTCTTCTCCATTATCGCCCATATCATATATCATAGTCATATCTCCATTGTCATATTTTCAGTATTCTTTTAGCCCCTGACTCCTACCTGCCCATCTTCCAGCTTTCTAGAAACATCAAAGATTCTGACCTGGGATGAGGTCCGGCATTTAGCCAAACACAATTCAAAGTGATCTTCGACTGCCATGAAGAGGTTCTGGAATGCTACAGCTGCCCGGTTGAGGAAGCGTTCCAGGAGAAGTTGCTATGGAAACAAAAGTTAGTACCTGTAATAAATTCCAGACTCAGCAGCACAAGGTAACCTTGGGTATTTCTCCTAAACTAAGAGACTGCTAATGGGTG